CTTATTGAGACAGGGTCTCACTATGCAGTTCAGGCTGGCCTTGACTCAGAGCAATCCTCCTGTCTCAGCCTCCTTAAGTGCTGGGATTTCAGGAGTGTGCCTGGCTGCAAAATTTTCAATTTGATAAATTCATACATAGTTTCGTAAGAAAGGATCTCTCACTCAAATAAAATTCTGTCAATTTAGAAAATAACACTACTGACCTAAGTTAAAAAACTAGCAAGTGACATAAGTTGAACAAATATTCAAAACCTAATTCACAGGCCTCTTAATTATTAGAAGAGACTTTGGTATGGCCATAAATTCACTGGCATTCAGTTCCATCAAAATGCAGGGTAAGGACAGGTGAAACCCCTCAAACAACAAGACACTAGTGGCGCCTGGGAGCATCATGCTCTGTCTCTGGCAGTTTCCTGAGTCCCCAGCTGCCACATCAGCACACAATAACCTTGCTGAAGAGACTTGGGACACATCAAGAGGCAAGGGAGTCAGCTGGTGTATACAGGATGAGGAAAAAGCCACATGGAAGGTGACCTATGCACCATGGACCCCACTCACACCAAGTGGAGCACAACTGCTTTGCTGTTTGGTGCTCAAATTTCAAAAGATAATGAAACTTAATAAAAAATAACTTTAAAGACAGAGAGGGAAATTGTATCAGAGAACAAAGCAGGTGCTTGTGACACGGGAGCACAAAACCTGGGAACCCTGACACCTCTCGGGATGTGAATTAAGAATTCTTTTCCTGTTTTATTGTAAATGGCAAAAAGAGGACCCAAAAGAAATACTTTTTTGGAAGAATAAAGCAGCAGGGTGTGTAAGAAAATGTTTTTCATATCCAGCAACTGTGAAGCGAAGAAAAGGCTGCAGGACAAAGATCAAATCCAGGCGTGACCCACAAAGCCCAGGCTGAGGGGCTGCCAGGAATGCAAGAATGTGCCTCCAACTTCCCATAGGCAGGGCAGCCCATAGGCAGAAAGCCAGTGACCCCCTGCTGTGTTTTTTTCAATGCTGAGCTTCTTAGATCTGTTAATGCTTCTATCAGATTTGCAAAGTTTCCACTCAGTCATTACCTTCTTGTTCCATTCATGCTGGAGCACTCACTCCATGTCTACTGAGCACCTTGTCCCACCACGTCTCCACCACAGCAGAAGAATAACTGTCCCTTCCTCTGTGTCTGCCTGGTTGATACCACTGCCCTGCAGTGCTATTTTGATCATTCTACCTATCAACTGTGCGCTATGTCACTTCATGTGTCTTCTCAATTTCTCTGTATCACTACTACTACAATCAAAAATCCAGATCCTTCCAAACAGACACATTTTAGAACTAAAAGGGAACTAAGAATGACTAGATAGCAGTGGCTTTTGTACCATGGAGAGTACATCTGAAACGAAGAACTCCCAGAGCATCTCCAGTTATACCAGTTGAACTGAAGTAGAGAGGCTATAAATTCCAACAGCAAGTAGCAAGCAGGCCAAGTCACCCAGCAACAAAGCCAGAAAAGGGAAGGAGGCACAGAGAAACAGAAAAGGCAAAGCACCAAGTGGAAAATAAGTCTCAGTGAGTACCTCTGGGCCCTGCTCAGGGAATTGGGCTTGTGTACCTGGCAAAATTGCAAACTTTCAATGAACTAAGACCATTCTGGGCCCTGCCCTCAAACACCTGAAGAATGGGAGTGTGGCTACCCTCTGTGTGTCTCATCTTTGTCATGTTCGTCCCTAAATCCAAAGTCGGTAATCAACACTCAAGGTGCTGCCCAACTTTCAATGTTATTCATGAATAACCACTCCTAAGGACCCTCATTTGGATCTCCCAAATTCTTTGCCACAAGGGCCTTAGGGATATTTATTTTGCAAGCAGGAGAAAGGTACATAGTTCTGTCACATCCAGCATAGACATCTAAATTCCTGGCGGGGGAGGGTGGGTGAGTGGGACGGGGGGACAGTTGGTGGATGATGAAGAAATAAAGGTAAGAATACAGAAAGCTGAGGTTGGGTGGAATTCTTGTCTCCTGATGTGAGAAAAAGGAACCACTCAATGTTTACGCTGTCTTTATTCATATACTCAGCAAGTTGCTATCACCTGACACCCCTCTGCCCATCAGCTTGTTCACATGACTTATCCCTGGGAAATTAAGTGTTCTGGGCTGGCCTTGCTCCACACATGCATGTGTGATGGAGCTCCAACTCCAGCCATTCTCCACGGTTTGTAATCTGTGCTCCATTCCATGTCCCTTACCCCTAAAGTCCTGTAACTCAAACATACACTGGCACTTTCTCATCTCATAAAGGAGGTCAAGAAATACAGAAAAAAGCTGTGTATCACTTCTAAGGAGAAAGTGTTCTACCACTTAGAGCTAGCACCCAGTTCCTAGGAATGTAAACCTACTTTTGTCACTTTAGGGTATGTGGAAGAACATGGAGAGATTTGTGAATGAATCAGAATGAAACATCTGGTTTACGAAATGTGATCCATTTCCTTGGAAGAACTGAGTCTGCTGTTGCTGAATGAAAGAGAGTATCTTCTAGGTTCTAGGGATTCTTATTTATTCCAGTGAGAGTCCTTGAGACCTTCCTTCCTTCCAAGGCTGGTCACCCGATGGGAGGTGACAAGAGCATCTGTCCATGCTCCTCCAGGTAGAGCCATGTACAGCTTACTGGATGCAACCCTAAAGAAAATTCACTTTTCAAGAGTATCTCCTTTGTAAGAACGGGAAAAGCAGAGAGAACACCACTTAATCTGTTAAGGAGCAAGATTTGGAGCTTCTAATTACCACTCCACACCAGAGAGTGACAAACTCTTAATAGCAAATCTGTTTATAGATACAGAATAAAATGAGTAAGAGAAACTTGGATTGGCTGGGTAAGTTATAGTAATTACAGTAATCCAAGTGAATTCTTCACCCCCTGATTACCATGTAACATAAAGATGACTGCACGCTGTGAAATATAGCAGATCCAGCTGTCAATGGCATCCAACAATTCCCATGGGCAAGGCCAGAGAGCATGAGCATTATTTTCACAAATCTGATGGAATCAAAATAAAACCTACTTATTAGAGTTAAGTGTAGGTGATGATGAGTGAAAATTCAGGTACCTACCCCACTTCCCATTGCTTCCTGGACATTCTTCTAGACTTTGTATGATAGCAAAGGGCCAGGCCAAATGACTGATAAGTGGTTTTTATGCAGCCAACAAGTCAAACAATTGTTGTAAGATTTGTCAGCTGCATAAAACACATTTATATGCCCCCAACTGCATATAAACTCCAAGTATTAACAGTTATGAGGCCCCAGCAAAACATCACAAAGAATGTGTGAAACTTCTCAGGCAATGTAGAGCAGAACAGTGTATCAAGGGTGGCTATAACAGGAAGGAGTGAAACTGACTCATGAAGGAAGACTGTCCACAAATTTTAGATGAAGATAAGACCACAGATTGTGTTCAGCAGAATGTCAAGAACAAAATAGTTCAGAGGTTTGAGAATGAATACTCACAGATGTTTCTAGTGGAGGAGAAAAACCAGACACAAGTGAAAGAGTCAAATTGGTAGCTACATAACTATTCATTTAAGCAAGAGAACTTATAGGGGGATGTTAGGGGGAAAAATACATCCAGTTGAGCTGGGCATGGTGGTGTATGCCAGTAATCCCAGCACTCAAGAGGCTGAGGCAGGAAGATCACTGTGAGTCTGAGGCCAGACTGAACTTCATAGTGAAACTCTGTCTCAAAAACAAAGACAGACGAGGAGGGAGAGGTGAAGAGAAAGAAAGGAGAGAGCAAGAGGAGGGAGACAGAAAGACAAACATCCACTTCAAATCTTAAAAAACCTTAATGCTGGACATGGTGGAACACAACTGTAATTCCAATACTCGGGAGGCTGAGGGAGGATTGAGATCAGCCTGGCTACATAGTGAATTCAAGGCCAACCTAAATTGTGGAGTGAGATCTGGCCTCCAAAAAAAAAAAAAAAAAGTAATAATCAGATCAGGAGATCCTTAACACTGGAAAGTATGAATGTGCAGGACCAAGAGCTACTTTAATACTAAGATTAAGCTGGGCTAAGCATCCACCCTGAGCATAAATGTGAACTGTTAAATACCCTGACCCAGATCGTATGGACACAGGTCAGATGGGCAATTATTCACAAAACAATGGTTTTCTGACTGGAACTGGGTCTGTTGTAAGTCATGCTTCACAGATTGAACACTTAAGAGAAGTAGTTCATGTAGCTGATTGGTTTGAGGGAATTAAAGACCACGAAAGAATATCTTTACCAATGGATCAAGAACAGCTCAAGATAAAACAACTAGGAATGTTCTAGAAACTAGTAACTTAAATTGAAGAAAGTACTTCCGAGGTAGAATGGAGGATGGGTAAAGACACTTAAAAACTTATTCATGTTTGGAACGCTTCAAAATGCTAAATTAACACTAAGCAAGAAAGTAACATTTTCTTGTCTTCTTAAATATGGTATGCAGCCGATACTATGCTATAAATAGAAAAAACCACCCTCAGAAAAGCTGGCAAATTCAAGAAGGAAAAGAGCTATTTTAGGTTCTCCCTTTCCTTCAGTCTGCAATATCAGGGTGAAGTATTTATACAAGGAAACAGATTTTTGTCTTAAAAATCATAAATACTTCAATCTGATACAAAATTATTGGAACAATGGTTCATGAGAAGTTCTGCAGGCAAATTAAAAGCAAAAAGACAATCAGTCCCCTAAAGGAACTTCAAAATCTGCCTTCCATCTATCTCTGTGGTTTTCAGTAATCAAAACACACAGAATGGAATGAACAGTCGGTCACCCTTTAGGACTGGAACTCCTCTCTCCTCTCTTCTCCTCCTCCTGCGTGTTTCCTAACCTAGAAATGCCATTCAAGCAAGTAGTCATCCCCTACTGGGAGCAAGACTCTTTATACAAAATGTTCCCAATTAGCTAAAACAATACAGCCTTTCACGGCTTAGGAGAGTATGGGAAGGGACTGGAGGGCAAACCTTGGCTTTGGTAGCAGCTGAGGCAAGAGCAGCTGCTGCTGCGGTGGCAACGTTTCCTTCAGAAATCTCATGTTCTACTTTTTTCTTCGCAGTGTCATTTTCTCTTTCTTTACATGCATCAGTGACTTCCTTGTTCTCTTCAGTCTCCTTTTCTTCTGGAAATACCAGAAAGCTTTATTACTAGTGTTCCCACACTCAGTAACACATCTCTCTTCACCTTGGCCACATGACAAACGAGTACAGACCTGACAGATTTCATTGCCTAATTCCTTACATGAGTGTTGCTGACTCATGCTGAACATCTAGGTCTGCCTCTATATGGGATATATTTTCTCAACAGTATCCTTTGCCTTCCCTTCATTTCTCTAGGCCTTATGTGTGCTTCCAATATAAAAAGAGAAATTCAGGACAAGGGAGGTGAAGACCCCCATACTTGTTCTAATCAGTGGGATGCTCTGGGAACCCCACTGTCTAGAGGAAGTTAAGACACCAACAACAGCCTCACTGGGCCACACCACATCTCATACTGACAATAAAATGATATTAGTGAAAGCAGAGACAAAACATAGGCACCAGAATCAGCACTAGTAACAAGCTGCTAAGTGCAATGCAAACCCACATTTACTGTAACACTAAGAAAACAAATCGAGAGAGAAAATGAACTACTTCTACACAAAATAAAACAATGTTTTAACAGAATAAAATGGGTTGGGGATGGAGCTCAGAGCTCCTTGGGCTCAAGGTCCAGTGCCAAAAAAAAAAAAAAATCAAACAAACCACAAGCAACCAACCTGCACACTCCTAGTGCCTTTACACTATTACAAAAATATGAAATCTAAGGAGACTCCTCTCAAATTACCTGATTTGATATCTTCATTAACTTCACCATCCTGTTCCTTCTCATTTTTTTCATTTTCTCCATCTTGTGTTTTATCATTTTCATCAATTTCATTTTCTCCTTTATTCTCTGCCTAATTTTTAGGGTACAAAAAAAAAGAACAGGAAATGAACAAAAAAGTTATCTCCAGGAGCTTAATTATCTTGCACTAATAAAAGGTTTCACTATTTTTGGGTAGTAAAAGAACTGAAATACCTGTGTGTGGTGGCACAAACCAGTAATTCTAGCACTCCGGGAGGCAGGAAGACTGAAAATTCAGGCCCAGATGGACCAAGTTAGCGACTTAGGAAAATCCTAGGCATATAGCTCAATAAAAATGTCCTGAGTTCAATCCCCAGTTCCACAAAACAAAAACACCCTTCTACTCCAAACATGGACTATAACACCAGGCCTGGTAGGACACATCTATAACACCAGCACTCAGGAGGTTGAGGCAGGAGGACTGCTCTGAGTCCAAGGCCAACTTGGGCTACACAGTAAGTTCAAGGCCGGCCTGGACTGCATAGTGAGACCCTGTCTCAAAAAATAAAAACACTTTCCTCTTCGGCCCCATAATCTTGATCAGAAAATTTGAGACACTACTGAGTTACATGATGTTACAGTACAAGTTCGCATATGTCCTGAGTCTTAATTGACCTTAGAAGGCTAGGGCCAAAATGTTGGGCTTTCCTTGCAGACCTCCTTTTTCTCTAATTTTGGTCTGCAAACTTAGGTTGTTGTTAATC